TAAGGACCAGATGATTTCTATTATGTCCTGATACGTAAAACCATAGAACTCAAAGAGGGTGTACTTTCTTTTTCACACAACTGTATGTTTCAGAGTTTCAGCATAAGTTAATTCTACTTCTTATCCTTAAAACTGAGGCAGATCTAAAACACCAAAAAGAGATTTAATTAAATTGCCATAAATATATGTATTTCTATAATGATCAAATGATAACTCAACTTCAAATGATATGTTGAAGCAGAAGGCTTCAATCTTTTCATAGGTCAGATGAGAGCAGCTACTAATAAATAAATAAAAATAAATAATTAAAAGTTTTTAAAAAATAGCATAATGACAAAAATATCCCAAAAAGCTAGTATTTTTTACTTGAGTATATTAAAGTTAGGATACGTCCTGTTGTAAAACATACTTTTCCAGACAGAATATTAAGCTTCAGGATTAAATTATAGCTCACCTCCAAACAAATATAAGGAATATAAAAATGTATTTTTATACTGAAAAGGAACTATGGAATTAAGGCATATCATTTTAAAACACAGGAAACCAAATGCAATTTCTGCTTGAATCCAAGAGTCTGCATGCATTCTATGTAAGTACCAGAATGTTCCGAATTACTCATTTATTAGCTTACTAGAAGTGAAATGCTCCATAAAGATACCTACAGCTGTTCAAACAGCTTGACGTTTAAGCAAAATAACTTTTTTAATACAAAATCAGTATGCATGCCTTGAGCGACTATGTTCTTCAAAAAGCTATAAAGCACATTCAAAATACTATTTTTAATCCAGGGGAGACTTTCAGGAAAATGTGTACGTGAAAAGACTCCCTCTGAACTGCTGTTAGAGGTCTGAAATTCCAAAATGCTCTAGCAACAATGCTTGCTTTCCATTCCAAAAGAGTAACTTACAGACTTGTCATATTATTTAATATATTAATAATATTTTTGCCTCAATAAGTGTTGATTTGAATGTTCTGATATGACACCAACCTATGGCAATCACAAGTCATCCTTTACTGGAAAATATAGTTTTAGAAAGCTCCAAAACAGGAGAGGAATATGTAACAGTGTTCATATAGTGTTCATCATTTATTTGATTTCTATGAACAGAACTGTAGCTTGAGTACAACTCCATCTCAAATTAACTTCCAACCAATTTATGCTAACTCCTACCAGCTTGCTATGATCTTCAAGGAAGAAAGATTCTTCTTGGGGGCCAGAAAGGGTAGGAGCAAACAGTTTCTTGGAAGATGAGAAAGGCATCTTTCACCCTTCCCATGTATCTTTTTTCTAGACAGCCAAAGATTTTAATGCTGTCACTTTTTTGTAAATAACATCTATTTTTTAATTTAATCTAATGAAAGTTGAACTAGTTGTATTCTTAGATTTCAAATGGAAAGAAAACATCATGGCATATTTTTTGCATCCAAAAAACAAAAACAAAAAGCAGCTTATAAATTATAGAAGCAGAAAATAAGATGCTTAACAAACTAAAATCAGTACCTCCCATCCACACGGGAAATTAAAACCACAATCAATTCCTTGTTTAAAAATGAAATTGAGTCATTAAAATGTCCTATTTAGTTTTAAGCACAAGAGAGCAGCTGGCTTGTCCCCCATCTCCCTATGAGCCACTTAGAGTACTGGAGACATCTGGTATCCTACCTATCCTAAAAGGAACAGGATTCACAAGGGAATGAAATTGATGCTTACAAGTAAGCTTAACTGAAAACTGAAACTCATTCTCAAAAACATTTATGTTAAGCTCTCTGTTCATGGACCTCCAGATAATTTTAAAAATTAGTAGAGCATTTAAATCAATTACTTCTTCATAAGAACAGCATTTTCTAATTCTATCATTTCATGTCCTCTTGGGAAAATGTTTAAATTCTCTCTCATAAAGAAGAAATAATATTCCTAACTCAATAAAAACTTAGCACTTTTTTCTTAATAACATACCCGGGTTGCTTTTCAGCACAACTTTAGTGGATACCGACTTGCAGAGGCCAGAAAAAACTAAGTGTATTTGATGAAATGGTTTCATCTCTAAAACTGGAAAGTCATCTTTCTTTGCTACTGGTCCTATGATATCTACTTTCTGCCTCACTGTGAAGGTTCCTATATGCCGTGGCATAAATGAAAATATCACATCCTAAAGACAAAAAAACAAAAATATTAAGCGTATTAGGAAAGAAAACCAAAAGCAAGTTGTAACAAGTTCCATTTGTTACATTACATCACACTCCTCTACTTAAAGCTTTAATATGACTTGTTTCTTATATTTTAAGAAATGAAAATCTCTAAACATTTTCTAATTGAAATTATGCAACAGAATTGAATTATACATTATCATGTTCTCTTTCACATACAAAATAGACATAATAAGATGTACATTAAATATACAAATGGACAATGGAGGAAGGAAACTGAGGAACCAAAGAAAGAATTATAAAATAAATTGAATGAGAGCAGAAGTGAATTAGAAATTGGGTATGTATTGCTTATATAATTTAATAAAATATTCTGGGAAACTGAATCTTGCCAGGAGACAAAAAAAGGAGAGAACATTCCACACAACAGCAGAAGAAAAAGTTTGAGAATATGAGTAAACGCCAGCAAAATATCAGCTGGACAGGACAGAGGGAGAAGAGGAAATAAGGAAGATGCAGGACAAGGACACAGAGCTTTAAATTAAGTATAAACTTGAAATTAATGAGGTGCCTGAGAGGGCAATGTAATGAAAAGAATAGTGACTACTATGTAGGAGAAAATAAGTTACAATTCAAATACTGTACAGTAATGAATGAAGAAGCACAAGGAAGCAAGAAAATGGGTATGTAGTTTAGCCAGAAAGGGAAAAACAGAAAAGGGATTTCATCCTAAGTATGGAAACTGGGGATATCTGTGACAGACTGTGGTGTTATTGTTGGTGCACTGTGCTACATTCTCTCCTTTGCCATGGTTGAAGACAGGTACAGAAAAGCAGCAGCTCTTCCCTCTCCCAGCACCAGCTTTCTGCCACCTTCTCTACCCTAAAAAAAGGACTCTCTCTTTAAAGATGCAATATTATGTTATGCAACATGCTCTAACATGAAGTATTTTGAGAATTATATATAGTATAAAGAATGAAAGAAAATATGCTAATACCTTTGCAGACTTTGCTTTTATTTTTCCCTTTTCAGGGCAAATATTATAATGTGCAATCTTATGAAAAACAAATGTCACTGGAAGTACATCACATTCATTTTTGAGTGTGCAAACAAGATCTGCATGTTCACCAATATAACACTCCCTGAAATTGACAACTGGTCCTGGGATGAATGTCAACATGACTGGAAGCCCTGAGCCTATCAGTCCCAATTCAACACAATGGGGATTCCCTGAAAAAGACATTGAGACAAAAGAACTATTGTATGTAATGAAGAAGGTGACAGTATATCAGTAAGTGTTCATAGGATATACTGCTATAAGGGAGCAAATAATAATGTATTACAAATACAGTTAGTTTTCTTTAATGCAACAAAAATTATTATAGAAGCTACTAACAACAAAAACTGCCCTCCAAAAGTCAGTTCAAATAAATAATAACACATTCTTGAAAAAGATGCTTAGACTTAAATGATAAAACTCAAAGAGGAAAAAGATTACATTGCTATGGAGTTGCTGCCATAGGTGAAAACTCTTGAAGGAAAGCCCACATATTATTAGATGCATCAAATGTAAGTGACATTTTAATTCTGCCTGAATAACAGAAAGAACTAAAGAAAAGAGGCGGGGTGGCTAGCAGTACTTTAATCTGCCCTATCAAACTAACCTTGACCATAGATAGTAGGGAAATTGATGATGTAATTTGTTCATACAGTGGTACCTCGAGTTACGAACACCCCTCCTTATGAATTTTTCGAGATACGACCAGCTCCAGCCCCAAAAATTTACCTCGACTTGCGAACTCCGCCTCAAGTTACAAACTGGATCCGCGGCCATTTTCCCTGCTGCCACACACTTGCGGCTTCCTGTGGGCAAGATCGCGGTAGCAAGGAGACGTTCGGTGAGGCTTATGGTGTGTTTTGTGGCGTTTGGAAGGTGTTTGGTGTGCTTGTCAGCATGGCTCCAAAGAAA